ATATGTTACTGAACAGGCGAGGGCAGCCTGTGGGGTGCAGGGGGGTCGGAGGGATTGTCTCACAAGACAGGCCTTCTTCCTCTGCAGGGCACTCACCTCCCACCTCACGGCCTTTGCCTTCCTCACCCCAGCACCCCTGCTCAGCTCCACCATCACACTCCAGGCAAAGTCAGCTCTTCCCATTAAACGCTCCCTTAACGCCGTGTTTTCATGGCCAGGTAGGACTTCCAGGAGAGTGTGAGCACAGAGCGATCCTCTTCTTTCTCGGGGCTGCTCCGTTCCATGGGCTTGTTCCTGCTGCGCCGGGGATGAAATCGTGGGGAGAACACCTCACTTGTGATGGGACCTCAGGTCTTAGTGAATAGACGCGTGTTTGATGTGCTCACAATCTAACATCAAATGCCTCCTTTCCCCAGCTCACACCTGCCTCAGGCCGAGAAATCCTCAAAGGGGAACCTGGCCCACGTTGTCCCTGTTCTTGGCTCTACTGTCTCCCTTGTGCCCCAGTTTTTGCTTTGGGGCCCTCTAGGATTGGGACAGGGAAGAAAGGGCAGGAAGGGGCTTGCTGACCAGTAGGCACCATGCAGCCAGGGAGTTTCAGAGGCGAAGCTTCCTGGAGTGCTGGACCCTTCTCTCCAAGAGCGCTTTTGAGGTCTTCCCTCGCCTGGCTGCCGGTGGCTTGGCCTGCCTGCAGAAGCTTCTTCTTGCCTGCCGAAGGCAGCTCTGCATCCAGAGGCTCTCATGAAAGGGCCTTGCCCAGCTGACCCCGACCCCCTGATCCTTTAGGAAGGGCCACTTTTGTTGTCTCTGTCATGGCTGTCTTGGCTGGCCTCAAAGTTCAGTGCTGATGGATGAGTCCCGTATGTCCCAAATTCCAGAGGACACAGACCAAGTTCACTGGTTCCATGAAGCCATCTCCCTTGTTGTGTGCATGTGTGAACATGTCCCTCCTTTCTGAGGGTGAACTCATGACCTGTCTCATGGCTAAGATGGGGAGGGGAGGATCCAGGACAGGATGACAGCAATCTAGCGATTTTCCCCGGGGAAATCCTCTCTCAGGTTTTCCTAACCACTTCTTTGAGTTCCTGGCCTGCCCTTACTTACCCAGGTGGGCAGTGACCCAAGTCTTCTCAAACTTCAGTGAGCATGTGGATTGCCTGGGGTCTTTGTACAAGGCAGAGGCTGATTCAGCAGGTCTGGGAGGGGACCCGAAGTTCGGGGTTCCTAACAAGCTTCCAGAAGAGGCTGACACTCCATAGACCTCATTTTGAATAGCAGGAATAGAGATTTGGGGCACTGACCCCTGAACTGGCTTGAATTCTGTCCCCTCCCTCCTCCAAAAGACATGTTCAAGTTGTAATCATAATGTGACGGTGACCTTATTTGGAAATAGAGTCTTTGCAGATGTAATCAAATGACGATGAGGTCATGTTGGGTTAGGGTGGGCTGTAAACCAAAGACAGATGTTGTGAGGAGGGAAATTTGAACACACATACATACACACACACACACACGCATGCACACATGCATGCATACACACACAGACTGTCATGTGATCAAAGCAGAAATTGGAGTGAAGCAGCTGCAAGCCGAGGAAGGCCAAGGACTCCTGGCAACCACCAGAAGTGAGGAAGAGGTGAGGATTCTTCTCAAGATCCTTCAAGAGAGCCTTCAAAAAAGAATGGCCCTGCCAACCTTGAATGTGGTAGTCTAGTTTCCAGGACGGTGAGAGAATACATTTCTGTTGTTTTGAGTCTCTCAGTTTGTGGTACTCAAACTGAGCCTAAGCTGTGGGACTCAGCTTAGGCTACTGTAAGAAAAACACATCTGTTTCCATGGCAGCCACAGGAAACAGATCAAACTGCCATGATCGGCCAGAATGGTCTTCTGAGGAAACACTGTCTTGGTATGTTGGGAGTGACCAATTAGGGCCGGTCCTGGGAGAGCGCCAGGATATTTCCAGGCGGATGTCAGGCCACCCTTTCCTCTCTCCCTCCCATCTTCTCTCCCTTCCCCTCCCCCCTTTTGCCTTTCAATTTTGCATGTAGAGGGGGAGGCACATGAGACCTTGGGTGGGATGGTTCTTCACTGAGCTGGATGGTCCTGTGCACGCTGCCTTTGTACCTGTCTCCCAGTCATTGAAACAACCAAAATGCCTCTGGGCATTTCCACAAACCCAGAGAGGACTGTTCTCAGTGTGTCACCTCCTTCCCTTCCCCTGCTGACCACCCAGGCCTCTCTCTCCTCCTTCTCCCTGTGGACTGGAGTGCCCGCTGGGGACCAAGCATGGAGAGGACAGGTGGCTGGATTGTGGGGCGGGCTGGTAGCAGGTCTGGGCAGGCAACAGCGTGAGGCTGGTACCCCGGACATCTGGGGAGGGCAGGCTCTCTGCGGCGAGGCTGAGGGCTGGCAGGGGAAGGACACAGGTAGGAGCTGGGGAGGGTTTCCCTTCCGCCTTGCCCTCCTTTCTCCTCCTCCACTCCTCCCCCTCCCCGTGGCATGCCACCCTTGCATTGGGCCCTCCTCACCTGGTTCCATGACTGGCTGCCCCTTGCTAGGTGACAGGGAGTCTTAGTCAGCTTAGGCTACCGTGAGAAAAACACCACAGGCTGGGTGGCTGACCCACAACAGACATTTCTTTCTTGGAGTTCTGGAGGCTGGGAAGTTCAAGGTCAAGGTGCTGGGAAATTGGTGTCTGGTGAGGTCCAGTTTCTGGGTTTGTACACAGCGTCTTCTTGTTCTCATGTGACAGAGAAAGAGAGGAAGCAAGCTCTCCGGTATCTCTTCTTATAAAGGCGCTAATCCCATCAGAGGGCTCCACTCTCAAGACCTCATTACCCCCCAAAGGCCCCC